CCCCAAAACCCCAAAACCCCAAAACCCCAAAACCCCAATTATAATAATTTTAAAGAAAATTAAACTAATGGAGTGCATTTCAAAGCCAGATTTGGCAACCCACGAGTTCTGAGTGCCTGAGAAAAAGATAATGGAGGGTGATACCCTTCATTCATTTCAGGAATCAGTGGTATACAAGGAAATTCTACAATTCATCACACTACTACAGAAGAGTGTCCAAGGAACACAGATGAGCACTACGGATCTACCAGATTGCCTCCTTCCTTTGTATGAGATGATTCAGAAGTACACTGGATATATAGACGAGATTCCTCCAATCGATCAACCAATGAGGTTCGGTAATAAGTCATTCAAGGTTTGGCTTGACAAGGTCAGAGAAAGCTATGAAGATGATATCAAAACAGTACTTACTACTGAAGAGCAACAGAAAGCTATCCCAGAATTGGAGCCATACTTGCTAGAGTCCTTTGGTCACTATGAGAGAATCGATTATGGGACTGGCCACGAGCTCAGCTTCCTTGGATTTTTGTTGTGTCTATATAAAATAGAGATCTACACTGATGAGCATTTTGCAGCAATCGTGAATAAGGTCTTCCAAGAATATCTACTTCTTTGTCGGAAACTACAGACTATCTATATGCTGGAACCTGCTGGATCCCATGGAGTTTGGGGACTAGATGATTACCAGCATTTACCATTTATTTTTGGAGCTGGACAACTAGTTGGACATGACGACTGGACTCCTGAAATCATCCATGATAACACAACTCTCGAGAATGAGATGAAAGATTACATGTATTTCGGTTGCATCCATTTTATTAAGAGTGTTAAGAAAGGAGTTCCATTTGGAGAATGCTCACCAATCTTAAATGATATTAGTGCTGTACCAAACTGGGGGAAAGTCTCCCAAGGTATGATCAAAATGTATGTCGGAGAAGTCCTTAACAAGCACCCAGTTGTCAAACATTTCAAATTTGGCTCTCTCATTAAGTATGAATCTGAATCAGATGCAGTAGCTCCAGATTCAACTGTTTCGACAGAATAAATATTTTTGGCCTTTTCAACCAGATTATTTTGATTTGGGGTTTTGGGGTTTTGGGGTTTTGGGGTTTTGGGG